TGTTCTGGATAATGTCAGGAACAAATGTCAAAAATGTCAAAATATATCCAAATGTTTTTTTAAATATTGGGAAAATAAAGGAAAAATATTTGTGGAGAAAAACATGAAAAACAAAAATATCAGGTTATAATGTGTGGAAAAAACAAATTCACTTTAGTGTATAAAACAGAGAAAAGCAACACATTTCCAGATTATTATTAATTGTATTATTATATATTATTATATTTCTTTTTATTAAGCTTGAACCGTCCCTTTAACGGCTGCTGATGGGTCTTAAAACATGTTAAAGGTCCCGTGGCCATTTCTCCTGATCATAGCTCCATCGTTGAGGTCGACTAGAATAGATTCACATTGTTCAATGTTCCAAACTCTCATTGGTTTCTCACAGCATCTCTGTGTAGTCTGTGTATTCACTCTCTGTCCTACACGGCTTGTTGGAGCTCCTGCCCCCCCCCCCCTGTGAGCCCACTGTGCTCTGATTGGTCAGCTCGCCCACTCTGTTCTGATTGGTCCACCACCGTTACAGCGGAACATCAGTGATTATGTTTTACAATGGCGTTTGTTAGCAACCAGGAAGTGACACCAGTAAAGACGAACAGATGAGAATGCTGCGTGGGGTCTGGGGGCCGTGTTGGGAGAATGTTGGGGGGCTCGCTGGACAGTGTGAGCTGCGTTACTGGGGTCGTTTCCTGGTTGCTGCGAGACACCGAGGAACTCAGCCTGAGCACACAGACGTGAGTGTGTGGCGAACTGTGAGTGGAGATTCACGGAGCCACGGCTGAGAAAATATAAGGCTGAGAGAGTGTGTGTGAGGAGCTCCACGGATTGGACCTGAGTATGGTCACCATACTCAGGAAGTAAACAATGGAAACAGAGAAATGTCCATCGAGGCGTTCTGGGGCAGCACAGACAGGTCTTCTCTGAGTCAGAGTGTTACTCCCTACGCAGGGATCACCAACTACATTTGTCCAAGGGCCAAAATGTGTCCAATAGACACTATCGCGGGCCAGCGATTTTTATATAGCCCAGAAAGGGGGGGAGGGATGCTAGTGGAGCACGCTCAGGTAGTGTGGACCGCATAAAGCTTAGCAGACTCTTCACGCTAACGAAGGATCACTTCTAGGCAGGGTTGGGAGGGTTACTTTGTAAATGTAATCAGTTACTGAATACATACTCTGAAAGTATCAGAATACAGTTACGTATTCAGACTACTTTTAGAATACTTTTGGAATACTTTCTTTTTCCATAACAGATGGGTATATTTCGGTGAACAGGAGACACGTATTTTACTGTTTTAATGGCTTATCAAGAACTCAAACACAACATATTGGCGTCATTCTGGACAGCTCCCTCTCATCTCCACCCCACATCAAAAACATCACCCGGACTGCATTCTTTGTACTGCCTTAAAACCTTTCCTTAGAATATGTTATGAATTGTAAGGTGTCCTTGGGTGCTTTGAAAGGCGCCCCTAAATAGAATGAATTATCATTATTATCTGAAACAATGTAATAACTTGTTCCAGTCACTTACCCCATGCATTCAGCAGCAGCAGGCCATTCACTTTGATTTGATCCCGTTATTAAATGTCATAATTTCGACAATAAAAAAATGCTACATAAACGTTATCTTGCACATTTTATCCAACCATCTCCGTTTCTAACTTTCAATATATTTTAAGAGATCTCTCTCTCATCTGCGTGCGGGGGCGGGGCCTCACAGAAGCTGCATCTCTCTCTCGCTCACAGACATGCTGCAGCGCTGTGCAGTGTGCACACAGTTCTGCCGGTAATGAAGATTACATTTTGTGAGGAAAGTTTTCCACCAATAATTCCAATAAGTATTCCAAAATGTATTCACTTCAGGTTTACGAAAGTAACTGTAATCAGATTACTCGTTTTTCAAATGTAACGCCAGCTGAATACAGTTAGCCTACTTGATTTTTGTATTCTGATTACGTAACGCCGTTACATATATTCCGTTACAACCCAACCCTGCTTCTAGGCTACTGTCCCGCAGCTCCTGCCTCTCTGTTGGACTCTGTCGCAGCGGGCCTACTGCTGTGGTGCGGAGCGCACAAACCAGACTCTTCACAACGAAGGATCACGTCTTCTTCAAGGCAGGGAAGGTTTCGCAGTACGCAGTCTACTGTCCTGCAGCTGCTGCCTCTCTGTTGGACTCCGGTACTGCACCTTACTCACGAGACGTTGTACAAAAAAAAAAATGGGTGGGGGGCGAACGCAGTAACCACTCCGCCAATGCCACAGTCACCCCCGTCGTGCGGGCCGGATGAGAATGTCTGGCGGGCCGGATGTGGCCCGCGGGCCGCCAGTTGGTGGTCACTGCGGTGCACTTTGAGGGTTTGAGACTCTGCAGAGCGTTCACATGCAGAAGCTACAGAACACAAGGGGACGGGTCAGAACCAGAGAAGCAGGACATGGGACCTTTAAGATCCAAAACTCAGGAGGATTTTCTGGAAAATAAAATTCTAACGAAACATGAAAACGTTTTTTAAAAGTATTGGGAAAATAAATGAAAAATATTCATGTTTGAGTCAAACAATATAATTAACTGTAATATAACACAAGGACAAGGAAACAGACTTTTAAAACATTTTTTAAACACACAAGTGCTTTTATGATTATTCTATTTTTAAATTGTTCTCTCGAGCTACTTTTGAATATCGTGCTTTTAAAAATAAATGGTGAATAACTTGTGTAGAAAAACCTGAACAAAAATAAATATTATTATTTATAATGTGTGAAAAAAAGAATTTACTTTAGTGTATAAAACAGAGAAAAGCAGCACATCTACAGATTATTGACGTCTGAGTCGCTGCAGATTAAAGATCCACAGATGTATAATAAGAACTATAATAACAATAAAGATCTCACGACAGAGACAATTCCTGACACTGGACTGTCCCTTTAAAGCGTCGCTAACTGTCCATTTAAAGCGTCGCTAACTGTCCCTTTAAAGCGTCGCTAACTGTCCATTTAAAGTGTCGCTGACTGTCCCTTTAAAGTGTCGCTAACTGTCCCTTTAAAGTGTCGCTAACTGTCCCTTTAAAGTGTCGCTAACTGTCCCTTTAAAGCGTCGCTAACTGTCCCTTTAAAGGCGTCTTAAGTAAATTACGCCCCTTGGCCCTTGCAGCACTTTGAGATTACTTTTAGCAATGAAAGATGCTTTACAAGTCAAATGTATTATTTTTATTATTAAAAACTGATGAGAATCTTCTGGATAATGTCAGGAAAATACGTCAAAAAATTCCTAAATATCGGTGAGTAATTTGGGTAAAAAACGTTAGTGTTTTCAAAAATGTTGGGAAATGACAAATACTCCTCCACCCATACATCCCGCACCCTTCGATCCTCAGACTCCGGCCTCCGCACCTTCGGGGGCCGTGCCTTCAGTGTCGCGTCCCCCCCCCCCCCCCCCCCCCTGGAACTCCATCCCTGCTGCCGTAACGCCCCTTCTCTGAACATCTTCAACCCTGAAAACTCATCTGTCCAACATGAACTCACTCTCTCCCCCCCCCTGCTATGTAACACTTCTGCCCCCTGTGTTACGTCTTGTCCTTATATGTTTCTTGTTAAGCGACCTTGGGTTGATGAAAGGCGCTTTATCAATTAAAGTTATTATTATTATTAAAGATGTCAGAAGAAATCGCCCAAAATAGGTAAATAATTTTCAGGAAAAAACATGACAATTATTTTTTTTTAATATTGGGGAAATCAATTAAAATACATACATATTACATGAAATGATGTTGTATTTAATCATATTATTTAATATATTATAGTTTTTACAGGCGACTATCAGCAGGTCTTCACATAAACTTTAATTCCAGACTTCATGAATATAAGCTTTTTATTTCTCGTCAGTAAATCATGTACAGAGTCTTCCTTTTTATTCATTTGATTAATAAATATTAATTTTTTACACATTGTAAACATACAGGGTCTACTTTCACATCATACAGTACATGTAGATTAATGCTCCAAACAGAAGACATTTTATTTAAAAACAGCCGTAATCATTATTAATCTCACAAGAAAAATATTCATACACATTTCATTTGTACACAACGCTTTCGGAGTGTGAGGCGGAGTGAACAATATGACTTTAGTTGTTAATAAAAGATCATAAAAGCTTAAATATGTGTGTAATTTGATGACAGATGCACAGGAGGGGTTTTGGGGGAACTAAGAACGGGTTAAACGCGGATACTTGTTTTCATGTGTACAGGAAGTCAGCGATGTTACACTGCAGTACTGATGTTCACAGTAATGACACCACAGGTCAACCAGGTTCTGTGCAAAGTTAGCAGGTGCGCTAAGGGTCGGCCAAACTTAAACTAAGAGGTATTTTAAAGGTCGGTCCTTTTGTTCAAAGTTAAGGGTTGTTTTTACCCATGCTTTAACTAAGTGGCTTTTCCAACATTTAGTAAAAGGCAGTTTTTTAAAGCTTATATTTAGGTTGTTTTATTCTTAACTGAGTCCCGGCTTCTTCAAAGGGTCATTTTTTAAAAAGCTTTAACTAAGAGAATTTGTTTTCATATTTAAACTAATATACATTTTTCCTAGGCTTTGAGGAATGTGAGTTTTTTCCAAGCTTTAGTTCAGGGAAGTTTTTTCTCCAAGCCTTAACTAAGGTCGACTTTTCCTCAACTTTAAATCAGGGTCATTTTTTAACTGTTTTAAAGATTTAAGTTTTGATTTGATTTCAATCCAACAGTTTAAGGGCGAGTGTTCTGTTAGTGAACCTCAGATGTAGTTTCACCCTAACTTCATTTAAAGGCAAGTCCTTGCAGACTAAGTTTATTGAAGAGCGAGAGTCACCGGCTGTAGAAGCAGGATTTAGTGATCAGCTGATTTATTATTTAGTTTCCCTCTAAGTTTATTTAGGCAATCAGGATTAAGTTTCTCTCTATCGTTACTAGTGAGTCATCAGCAGTAGCCCCCCCCCCCCTCCAAAGTATATTTAAGTGTTGTTTCCAGTCAAATCTGGATTCAATTAATTTAGCAAGAAACTAACTTTAGTTAAAAGTTAGTTATCAGTAGGTTTATTTGGCACTCCAAGTTTATTTAGAGTGAGTAAAAGCAGCAGCATCACCTCCACCCGAGGACCCTCCTTCCAAAGCTTGATCAATAACACTCCTTCTTCCCTTCTTCACCTCCACCTCCACGCGGGGGGTCCTCCTGTCGGGACGCAGCCCCACCCAGGAGCTCAGGATTCGGGCTCGTTTCAGCGAGGGCTCCAGTAAGTTTTTACCCTGGCTTTAACTAAGTGCTTCTTCAAAGCTTTAATGAGGGTCATTTAAAAAAAAGAAAATAAGATTTCAGTTTTGATTTGATTTAAATCCAACAGTTTAAGGGAGAGTTTTACTCAGATTTAGTTTCACACTAAGTTGCAGACTAAGTTTATTTTAGAGCGAGAGGCAGGATTTAGTGGCCCTCTAAGTTTATTTGAGGGACATTATTGGCTGTAAAATCAGGACTAAGTTTCCCTCTAACCCCTCACAGCTTGGCTTTATTTCCCTGGAGGCTCTTCTTCACGAGCCCCAGCGCCTCCATCGCCGTCCCCCAGGCGAGGGTGACCCCGACCCCCCCCGTGCCCGTAATTATGCACCACAGTTACACTCCTTCCCCCCTTCTTCACCTCCACCTCCACCTCTCTCTCCACCTCCACACGGGGGGTCCTCCTGTCGGGACGCAGCCCCACCCAGGAGCTCAGGATTCGGGCTCGTGTCAGCGAGGGCTCCAGGGAGCTGCAGCGCTTCAAAATGCCCCGAGTGTCGTTTTCCTCCACCTGCAGGTTCCAGTCTCCCCCCTGCCGAGTTCCTCCGATAGTGACCCCCTGGATCCCTGGGAAGATGTACGTGAGGCCGTCCCCGTCCCGGATGAAGTGCTGCAGCCAGGGAGCCTCCATCTTCAGGACCTGGCCTCGAACCGGCTGCACGGAGACGTCTGCGGCCAGCGAGCGCGATCCCAGGCCCGAGCAGTTTACGATGACGTCAAAACTACCGCTGAGATCCTGGAGGTTATCGACCCGGCGCTGCTCCACCTGACCCCCCGCACGCCTGAACCTGGAGAGAGGAAGACAGGTAGAAAGAGCGGGGGGAACACTTAAAGGTCTCCTACTGTTGTATCATCCTCTTCATCACAGGTCTCACTCAGATAGATCCAGAGCCTGTCTCTGATTGGCTGAAACACCAAACAGGTCATTGCAGCATTACCCATAATCCCCTCTGTTTCAGCCCTGTTTCCAAAGTGCTGATTCTCTGTCTGTTACTTTAGATGAAAACAAGGAGCCCCTCCCCACGCCCCTCTGAGAGACATTTGGTTACAAAGAACTCAATGGAGCTCTAGAGGAGATTCAGGTGATAAGGGGGGGGGGGGGGGGGTTACCTTGTTGCTGATTGGCTAATGGTTACACAAGACAACACATCGTTATGACATCATCAAGTGGCCAAAATCTGATCAGCTCATTTTCAGACAGGTTTTTATAGAAATGGATCAAAAAGGAGAGAGGAATCTTTGTTTCCTGAAACTTTCAGAAGTCTCTTTCCACAGCTGGGGACACATGTTGATGTTAGGAACGAGACATGAAGAAGAGGGGACAATGTGAAGTAGAAGAACGACCTGAAGACAGAGGGGACACATGTGATTGTAGAAGAAGACATGAAGAATGGGATGGGGACACATGTTGATTGTAGCAAGGGAGACATGAAGAAGATGGGACAACCTGTTGATTGAAGAAGAGACGATGAAGAAGCGGGGGGACACATGTTGATGTGGAAGAGACATGAAAAGAGGGGCAAATGTTGGGTAGAAGACCATGTAAAGAAGAGGACACATTTTTTTATGTCGAAGAAGGAGGACATGTAAGAAGAGGGGACACATGTTGATGTAGAAGAGACATGAAGAAGAGGGGACACATGTTGATGTAGAAGAGACATGAAGAAGAGGGGACACATGTTGATGTAGAAGAGACATGAAGAAGAGGGGACACATGTTGATGTAGAAGAGACATGAAGAAGAGGGGACACATGTTGATGTAGAAGAGACATGAAGAAGAGGGGACACATGTTGATGTAGAAGAGACATGAAGAAGAGGGGACACATGTTGATGTAGAAGAGACATGAAGAAGAGGGGACACATGTTGATGTAGAAGAGACATGAAGAAGAGGGGACACATGTTGATGTAGAAGAGACATGAAGAAGAGGGGACACATGTTGATGTAGAAGAGACATGAAGAAGAGGGGACACATGTTGATGTAGAAGAGACATGAAGAAGAGGGGACACATGTTGATGTAGAAGAGACATGAAGAAGAGGGGACACATGTTGATGTAGAAGAGACATGAAGAAGAGGGGACACATGTTGATGTAGAAGAGACATGAAGAAGAGGGGACACATGTTGATGTAGAGGAGACATGAAGAAGAGGGGACACATGTTGATGTAGAAGAGACATGAAGAAGATGGGACACATGTGATGTAGAAGATACATGAGGAAGAGGGGACACATGTTGATGTAGAAGAGACATGAAGAAGAGGGGACACATGTTGATGTAGAAGAGACATGAAGAAGAGGGGACACATGTTGATGTAGAAGAGACATGAAGAAGAGGGGACACATGTTTGATGTAGAAGAGACATGAAGAAGAGGGGACACATGTTGATGTAGAAGAGACATGAAGTAGAGGGGGACACATGTTGATGTAGAAGAGACATGAAGAAGAGGGGACACATGTTGATGTAGAAGAGACATGAAGAAGAGGGGACACATGTTGATGTAGAAGAGACATGAAGAAGAGGGGACACAGTGTTGATGTAGAAGAGAACATGAAGAAGAGGGGACACATGTTGATGTAGAAGAGACATGAAGAAGAGGGGACCACATGTTGATGTAGAAGAGACATGAAGAAGAGGGGACACATGTTGATGTAGAAGAGACATGAAGAAGAGGGGACACATGTTGATGTAGAAGAGACATGGAAGAAGAGGGGACACATGTTGATGTAGAGAGACATGAAGAAAAGAGACCACATGTTGATGTAGAAGAGACATGAAGAAGAGGGGACACATGTTGATGTAGAAGAGACATGAAGAAGAGGGGACACATGTTGATGTAGAAGAGACATGAAGAAGAGGGGACACATGTTGATGTAGAAGAGACATGAAGAAGAGGGGACACATGTTGATGTAGAAGAGACATGAAGAAGAGGGGACACATGTTGATGTAGAAGAGACATGAAGAAGAGGGGACACATGTTGATGTAGAAGAGACATGAAGAAGAGGGTACACATGTTGATGTAGAAGAGACATGGAGAGAAGAGGGGACACATGTTGATGTAGAAGAGACATGAAGAAGAGGGACACATGTTGATTGTAGAAGAGACCTGAAGAAGAGGGGACCCACATGTTGATGTGGAAGAGACATGAAGAAGATGGCCGGACACATGGTTGATGTAGAAGGAGACATGAGAAGAAGGGGGACACATGTTGATCGTAGAAGAGGACATGAAGAAGAAGCGGCGGACACATGTTGATGTAAGAAGAGACATTGAAGAAGAGGGGGACACATGTTGATGTGGAAGAGACATGAAGAAGGAGGGGACACATGTTGATGTAGAAGAGGACATGAAGAAGAGGGTGACCACATGTTGATGTAGAAGAGAGGAACATGAAGAAGAGGGGACACATGTTGATGTGGAAGAGACATGAAAGACGAGGGACACATGTTGATGTAGAAGAGGACATGAAGAAGACGGGGACACATGTTGCTGTGAAGAGGACCTGAAGAAGAGGGGTACCACATGTTGATGTGGAAGAGAACTGAAGAAGAGGGGACACATGTTGATGTGGAAGGCGACATGAAGAAGAGGGGAACACATGTTGATGCAGAAGAGACATGAAGAAGAGGGTGGACACATGTTGATGTAAGAAGAGACATGAAGAAGAGGGGAACATGTTGATGTAGAGAGACATGAAGAAGAGGGGACATATGTTGATGTAGAAGGGACATGAAGAAAGAGGGGACACATGCTGATGTTGTAGAAGGGACATGAAGAAGAGGGGGACACATGTTGATGTAGAAGAGACATGAAGAAGAGGGGGACACATGTTGATTGTAGAAGAGACATGAAGAAGAGGGGACACATGTTGATGTAGAAGAGACATGAAGAAGAGGGGACTAAGTTGATGTAGAAGGGACATGAAGAAGGGGGACACATGCTGATGTAGAAGGGACATGAAGAAGAGGGGACACACTGTTGATGTAGAAGAGACATGAAGAAGAGGGGACACATGTGATGTAGAGAGGACATGAAGAAGAGGGGACACATGTTGATGAAGAAGAGAATGAAGAAGAGGGGACACATGTTGATGTAGAAGAGACATGAAGAAGAGGGGACACATGTTGATGTAGAAGGGACATGAAGAAGAGGGGACACATGTTGATGTAGAAGAGACATATGTCCCCTCTGTGTAAAGAGACTCCTCAGAGACATGAAGAAGTGGATTTTGCACAACAGGTGACCTTTAAATAAACTGTGTTTTTTATTAACCCAAAAATCCAAAACCAACATTATAAACCAATCATCTCTAACTAGGCCCATAAAACCTCCATCAACTTAACAGCTGTTCCCTCAACAAACGGACCTGCTAATGACAAAGCAAGGGTCCTCTAAAGTGGCTGGGCCAACCCAATATGAACAGAATACACAAAGAACACTCACAAATCCCCCCTTTGACATGAAGCAGGTGGTTTGTCCCAATCTGTCCTAATTGGCTCCTTCCGGGGGCAAAACATGTAACTGCACTTACCTGTATTTATATTTAATATGTATGATTAACGACTGAGAGTTGATCGCATGTCTCACCTCTTCTCCACATGAAGCCCCTTGAGCTCTGTCTCTTGTGTGAATGCTTTATGAATAAGCTTTCTTTGATTATAATGGTCTTAATGCGCGGTTACCTCTTCTCCAGCCAGGGCAGGTAGCGGCTGCACTCACACTTGATGGTGGTGAACGCCTGTCCGAACCGATGCTCCGGGAATCGAACCATCTCTCGCTCCGTCATGATCCTGAACCCGAGCACCAGGTCGGACCAGTACGGAGTTTTATCTTCAGGAACGTCCCGGAAGATCTGCCAGCTGCAGGAGGAGGACGTTAAACATACTGAATATTCAACGTGTTGATAAGACTTAGTGGTTGACTGACCCGGAGCTGAGCATGACGCCGGCCTCCGGAGCGTCTTCAGACTGAGCGATGAGCCGCAGGTGGTCGAAGCTGGACTTGAACCAGCGCCTCTGCTGCTCCACTGGGACATCTGAGGGGGGAATATCATTTATTATTACATGGCTTCGTTGAATACTCAATTCTGATTGGTCAATTCAGAACACGTGCAGTAGAACAGACCGCTGTCCAGGACTAATGGCCGTTGCTAAAGAGGATCAAGAGAGAGAAAGGAAAAGACGGAGCGCTGGACGTCAGATGAATGAAAAGAAGAAGGCAGAGAGGAGGTGAACAGAACACGGTGAGCTCTGCGGAGTTTAGGGGCTTGTTAGTGGATCAGAAACTGTGAACAAAGTTGGACAGTGCTGCCGTAAAGTTGTTGTTGTCGCAGTTCCAGCCGTTGGTGCGTCGTGGAAAGAAGTTTATTTTTTCTTAGCGGAAGAATTACGATCATTTTTAAGTCAATAAAATCATTTGTGATGAAGACCGCTTCGCGTGTGGCTCCCTGGTCCGCCTGTCGGGTGCTCTTTTACCCATAATGACCGCCTCGCTGCACATTGTCCCTTACATAGCGTGTAGCTGGGTCATTCTACAGAAAAGGTGGAAGTGCTGTCACTTACTTTTGCAGACACCAAAATACATGACGTTGACCTAATACTCACATTCATTATATGTTGGATAAATAGAGATTGTCTTAATGGTACTAAATTAAACAATTAAAAAAATTGCAATTGATTTAAAATGCCAAGTTCAAGGAACTGCCTTGTCACTTTGATCACGTGGAAGTGGAGCCTATAGTTTTCATTCAAATGTCTTTTTTTTCAATAAATAAATCGCATTCATATTTACATAACATTACATACATTAAATATAGGCTAACACTGAAATGGTAAAAAAAACGCAAATCATTATTAATAATATCCAATAAATGTCAGTCACCCAAAATGACGTCATTGGTGTTGCTGCTACACAAAACGCTTTTATTCTGAAGTAATGAACTGTCTCTGAAGTGCCTCCTGTAACAAGAGATCCTTTGAGGCACAAAGACATAAGTCAGATACTTCTTACTTTGTTTGTTAAAGGTGTCATTTTATCTTCAAAGTTACGTACTTTCAAGTCTGTCATAGTTACTCATTGCATAGCCCTAGGGGTGAACATTGGAATGGGAAAATGTATTGAAGAGTTTAAACAATTTTGATATTGATTGAAGCTCATAAAGTATGTGGTCTGACACATGGCAGCCATTTTGTTAAAATTGTAGTGTTTTCTCCAAATTGTCCCTGGTGTTACTCTTCTTCCTGGTAACACGTAACACCAGTGACGTTCCTATGTAAATAAGCTTTGTATAAAAATAATAAAAAAGCATGCCCCCGGACCCCCCTAGAGGAGGTGAGGTCCACCACCTGCCCACACCCCCTGTTAAATTGTCTCACCCACATTGAGGATGCTTCCTAGTACGCCCATGTTTTATTCCATGCGTCAAGTCAGGTAAATTGGGTCCAGATGTTATTGCATCAAAGATCTGTTAACATTAAAATCACTAAATATATACTGTAACTATTTTGCTCTAGGCAACTCAAGGGCTGCTCAGGTAATGTGATTACTTTATGAGTAATGGTCCAAAATAACATAAAATGCATAGGGTTTTAATTAAGTGGGCCTGTCTGTCAATTAATCTCCGGGCCACGTTTCCCCCCTGTGTGTGTGTGTGTGTGTGGTGTGTGTGTGTGTGTGTGTGTGTGTGTGTGTGTGTGTGTGTGTGTGTGTGTGTGTGTTGTGTGTGTGTGTGTGTGTGTGTGTGTGTGTGTGTGTGTGTGTGTGTGTGTGTGTGTGTGTGTGTGTGTGTGTGTGTGTGTTGTGTGTGTGTGTGTGTGTGTGTGTGTGTGTGTGTGTGTGTGTGGTCTTTTGAGCATCCTAGGTGCATCTGAGTTCCTGTGAGCCCATTGTGTCAAAAATAAGAAATGAATCCTCACCTGGGTTGTGGTTGGCGAACAGGATGCCGGCGGCTCCATCGCTCGTGGTCTCGGGGCTGAACTTCTCCCCCAGCAGGGTGACTGAGACGTGGCGAAGATTCTCCGCGATGCACACGGCCGTGGAGAAACCCACCACCCCCGCCCCCACCACCACCACCCGAACACCACCCATCACCCTGCAGAGAGAGAGGGAACAACAGCATCACCCTGGGACCCAAGCTGAAGCATCTGTGCTCCAGCACTGAAGCATC